ACAAACTGAAATTAAATTTTTCCTTCCATCTCTTTGTGCGTCAAGCAGCCTCCACCATGGATCTGAATATCACTGTTTCCATTACTCTTTCTCCAACCCCAGAGCCAAACCATGACCCTCAGAAGACTATGACAGGATTGCTACAAACTGCAACCTGCAGGAGACTTCCAGCAAGCTGTACTATTCAAACAACATGGATGTAATGGACTACATTATTTAATCAACATTTCCTACAGGTTTTTATTACTTTAAATATTATCTTCTAGTCCTTGTTATTTTAAATTTGCTTTGAAACTCTAGAGAACAGAAAGCACTACATGCTAATCTGTCTGGCCATCAGAGGTACCACTCCCAGGTACAATATCTATGAGTCCTGTGTTTGAATGTTTTGGGGTTTGTTCTGACTAACAGGGCAAAGGTTGAATGTGCCATTATTCTACTTAGTTGTGGCCTGACATCTTTTTGTATTTTGCTTCTTTTATCCTAGGATTCTCCAAGTTTTCATTTTAAACAAATACCTTCTTCAGAGGAAATAAATTCTCACAGCATCAGGAGAAACAAGATGCTCTTTTCCTATGACTGTAGGGAATATGAAGCATGTGTATTCACAGCATCACAACACAGCACAACCGAATTAGGCTTACAGTTCCAGACCCCAGCTTATGGCCACTTAATTTTTGCGTTAAAAACAGAAACACAATTTACTGCTCTCCATCCATCCGCTTTCAGTAGTGATGTTAGAAATAAGGCTGCACTGTCCTTTGAGCTGTGAAACAAAGACAAGCAACAGTGCTATGTGCACCATAGGGCACCAGTTTACACCAAACTACAAATGAATGCCATATTGCTGAGCTGTATTGAGTTTGAAAAAAACAGGGGGTAACTCACAGGGAACAGAAACCGCTGACTCATTGTTTCAAGCAAGCCTTCAGCAATCAATTAATTGCCTGATCAATGCAGCATGATGCAGGAAGCTTAATTGAAGAGAATTAATACTTGGGAAGCACATATCTCTGGAGGGGGGAACCACTGCCAGTAAAGTTAACAGCCTTTGGAAATGCAGCTGCATTTGTTTTAGGAAGAAAAATGATGTGAGAGAAGATATAAGGACATCATAGATAGTTGACATTCAGAGTAATATCCTTCAACAGAGAGGGTTCAGACTGAGAATTTACTGACACTCACAGACTCCAGTGGCAAGAGTGCTAAACATACATGTCCACATTTGGAGCCCAACAGCAGGAAGCCATGAATTTTTTTATCATGTCATCACAAAATTGAAGAGTAAAGAACAATACTCCCATAGGTCATGGGACTGTGCAGACTGACTGATTAATTGATGAGTATGTGAAATGAAGTGAATGTTAATATAATGAAAGGTACTGTATGAGCAAACAATACCAATTTTACTACTCTTCCTCCCTTGGAGACATGAGTGACTTTTCCACACTAGAATACAGTAGGTTACTGGGGGGGAAGAAATATATCAGTTGTCCTTGCAAAATAAAAAATGCATTTTGAGGAAAGACAAGAATGTGCTTTTAACCTTGCTCTTTCTCAATCTCTCTACAGTTCCATGTCACACCTAAATTCACAGCATACCAAGCCTTTTACACATTAGACACTTGTTCTTTGTCCACTTTGCTGCCCATAAAACCAGGCTTGACTAGCTCCTGGACTGCATTTCTTTTGACTGGCCATGGGTGAGTTGTTTATAGGCATCAGGTCAGCAGTTCCAGCCTGTACCCCAACTCTTCTCATCCCTTGCCTGTGCTCCTCTATGTCCTGTGTCTCCACTTCACCGCTCTCAGACTCATATTCTCTATACTACATCATTATGCTGAAGCCATAAAACTATGTAGGTACAATAGAAAGACAAACAAAAGAACAACAAACTATCTGTGGACACCTGGTCAATTAGAAAAATTGCTGTTACACTACAGCAAGTAAAACAGAGCTCAGGCAGGTCACCAAGAGTTCAGACAAAGCAAACCTGACATACCTCAGTCCTGCAGCCTTAAAAATTCAGCACAAAGCCAATGGCCTGTTACCAGCCAAGGCAATACTGTCTTGCAAGTCTACACAAGTAACAGTTTTCAAAGGAATTTTATTCCCACTCAGAGAAGTGTTGGTGGGAGCCCCATGTAGAAATGCAGTAGACATGAAATTGAGCATGTCAGTTTTAAGACATTCTTGAGAAGCATACAGCCGTGGTGACAGTAATCTAGATGGATCACTTAAAAAAACCTACTGTTTTGCTGGTAGATTCAGGCCCCATTTGATTGCTGATAGCTACATGTTATTGCCTTTAGCTAGAGATGTAAAATGGTATGTCATTAAAAAAAAGAAAGAAAATCTTCAGCTTACTTGATTACCTTGCACATTTTTGCTATGCAGAATTTGTCATGGAAGAAGGGAATCTGATGTGCAAGCATTAATGACTCAGGATATTAATATCATCTCGTTTTCTTTCTGTGTCATTACCAGTCATTGGCTTCAATTATGCCAGCAGTCACCAAAGCACTAAACATCAGGTGGTCCCACGTGTACTTATGGGTTCTTCAAACAAAGCTAATGAAAATGATACAATATGAGACTAAATTCCTGAAGACTGGCTGATCCTCAGATCCTATTGCAAGTTGAAGTGGAGAGCATGATCCCTCTATTTGGATGCTGTGCCACCTGCACTGTGGGTGCAATTCCCTGCTCTGATACTTAATAACAGGATTATAAGACAAGAAAAATATTGGAACCTTGTTTCAGAGCCTCAGATCCTATTGCAAGTTGAAGTGGAGAGCATGATCCCTCTATTTGGATGCTGTGCCACCTGCACTGTGGGTGCAATTCCCTGCTCTGATACTTCCTAACAGGATTATAAGACAAGAAAAATCTTGGAGCCTTGTTTCAGAAAAGAGACTGTGCCTGGACTGTGAGCCATGGTGAAAGAGCTGTGTGCTGGCTTTTTTGTAGCTCAGGGCTACAAAAAGCCCAAGCAGCTACTAACATGAACACATTTCCTCAACATCCTCAACTCAGGCTGACTCCTGTTTCAGCATTTAAGGTATTTCCTGTGGTAAATAAAGGGCTATTACACAGAGTGTGAGGTACTGACTGTCAGAGTTGATTAAAAGTAAACAAGGCCAAATTAACACTTGTTGCTTTTGCTCATTTCATTTCTTTGCAAACACACTACAATGATAACAAACCTCTGCATGCTGCTTAAGCAGAAATCAATACAGAGACAGAAAATGCTATTTCTGACTGAAATTGGAGTTGCAACCCTCTTTAAGAAAAGCCTAGCAGATGATGCGTGACATAGGTACTTAAAAACATTGCTTTGAAAACCTTTAAACACAGCTTGAAAACAATTTTACCTCTCTGCTTTTATTTCCTAAGGACTTCTTAACCTTCTTGCTTTAATACATTAAAACATCATAGTTAGTACCTATGCAAAACCATTTTGTCAAGTTTACATCAACATATTATCATGTCATCCTGATTATTGTACATCTGAACTTGAACTACATTGCTAAGCAGCACAAACTCCTGCAAAGAACCCAGACATTAAAAAGGAAAGAAAATATTTTCATTTTGCTGTTTAACCTATAACCAAGGTCACTTCAATCTTGTGGAAATGGGATGACTTCTTTTTTTCAGCACCCCAACACTTTAATTCAAGTATATTTCTTCAGTTTAATGTTTTCCTGCCTGCATTTCTGCACAATTAAAGCACTTCAATATGGTCAACAATGTTAATAATATCCATATTTCTTAGGTAATTTGGCAAATGCTCAGTAATCACCCACTTGTTTCTAGCAGAAGTCCCTACCCCTCCTTTCCTTGTGGGTTTTTTTCACCAAATACACTGGAAGTTGAGCCTGGATACTACAGCAGGTAGTAAAATAGTAATAAATACACTCTCAGGAAGCTGTGGCTGTAAGAACTCCATTACCTACAGAGTCTATTGTAAATTATGTATTGCTGTTTAGTATTCTTGACATTTTTAGTAAGTGCAATAAAACACCTTTATAGAGTTGGAAAGAACTGTATGCCAGCTCAAGGCAAAAAAAAAAAAAAAGAACAAATGGAAGACGTAATTGTTTTATCTAAAATAGATTTCTCCAGTAGATTACTACTGAAATACATAGACTTTCTCCCAGTCTGCTAAGCAGGATGAAAACCTGGAAGGCTCCATATGTCATTCAGCCAGCCATTAGATTAGAATATAAGGTGCAGAAATGAAAACCAAAGAAAATTGCAACTGCTAAGTTCAGAGCTACAGCAAGGAATTATATTTGCCACAATTTTAAATATTAACAGAGGGACTGGAGGGTCAGAAGTATCCATCAGAAGCTCTGAAGAGGGCAATCAGCATCCCCTAAATCCCCAGAAATATTTCTGTGCCAAAATCTAGGCCTTACAATTATTTTGAGTGAGACAAAATATTATTTAGAATAACAAATAAGAAACTAGCTAACAGGCAGACCTTAGATTTCCATCAGCTCTAAAGCACAATCAAGCTATGCTCTGCCTTCCTCAGTGGTCATAGTCCAAAGGATCTGTCTGTTACCACTAGAGCTGAAGTAAAGTCCTATAAAGATTTTAATTTTTGCAGGCATAATGTGAGGTTGCATTTTCACACCTACTATTAAATACAGATGTCACTCTGCACCCTTTCCAGCTAGCTGATAACAAGAGCAAAGTAAGCAGCTAGAAACTGAGATCACTCCTTTTCCCTTGTACTTAGGGTCTTTTCAGCTTTGGTGACATTAGAGTAAAACAAATTATTAGATTGTTCAACATTAAATCAGCTTTTTGTATCTTTCCTGAGGTAACTTGGTATTTACCATTCTGTTTGATGTCAGACAGAAATACACTCTTTTTGGACCCCAAAATAAATGTATAATAAGATTCTAATAATGAAACTTAACTTTAGCTGTGATAATCAAAGTTATAACTTGAATAAATTCTCCTGTGTTTCCTATGTAGAGAAAAATTACCTTGACTTCTTCTAAAAACATCTCTGGAGTAAATTCTTCTATTTCTGAGGAATACTTCTGGTCCACTGCCCTGTTCTGGCTTGAAGAACAGAGTTTTGAGACAAGAGACTGTCCTGTCAAGACAAAGCAGGCCAAAATGTTTTTCTTTATAGCCCCTCTCCACCCTCAATATTATTTCCCTTCTGCCTAAAAAGATAAAACCACCAGATCTGAACAGCACAATGCCACCCATTGACTTTGCAGAAAATAAAAATTAATCATTTCTACTGCAACAGAATTCTTTCTGCTACCTGAGTAACAGGAATGCTGATTCCTTCAAGAACACAAGCATCTTTTTAAAGGGCTGCCCACAAAAACATTAATGTCCCTACATCCCACTCAAACGAAGATGCTCACTGAAAGGCTGTTATCTCCATGCAATATTATGTTAAGTAGGAAGTATGTTTGGAAATGTCTTGTTGCTGATCTCCTCCAAGATCCCTACTTCAGCACCAGAATGAATTCAGATGTGACCTGCAAATGTCTGCAAATGCCTGCCACTTTCTCATACCATATTTGCATCAATAAGAGAAACATTTATACAACAGACACCTATTTCATGTTGCTCTCTGTCCAACATGTTCACCAGGACTTGAAAATGCCCAAAGCAAAATCCCACTTGAACTTACTTCTGAAGTCAAGGTTGTAAGGAGAAGTGCTGGATTTCCTTGAACTTCTGCTTTACAGTGTGCAGCTTTTGCAGGCATGCACCCACAGATTTCTCTCCAGGCCAGTGAGACCCAAGCAAGTTGCCTCCAGGTTAACCCAGGGAGCCTAAAAACAGCACAAAAACGTGTGTGGCTGAAGCAAAGCTGAAACGAGTGCAGAGCTCCAGGAGGACCAACCACGTCAGCTCCAAACCTGAGTAACAGTCAGAGTAGGAAGTCGACCTGCTTTGAATTTTGCTGCCATTTCCCTGATTGTTGTTGGACTCCAAACCAACCTGGACACACCAGCTCCTATTCAAAAATCTTATATTCATCACAGTCCTTGCCATGTCAAAGTAATGACCTAGCTGGTGAATCCATGTTCGTTCACATCTTTCTGGCTTGGCATTCCAGTTGGATAGATACAGGCAGGGCAGAGCCCAGACATGCAGGCTGGGGACAGGTCTGTGTGCCTCCTTCACAAGGAGCCCTCCACACCCCAAGCTCCCCAGGGAAGTTGCATTCACACAAAAACAGAACAAAAACCCCCATCCGCTGTAGCAAGACTAAAGAAAAATTACTCATCTACCATAGTTATATTAAGAATCAAATAAATGTCATGTGGTCCAGCATTAAATAGTGTGACCTGGAACAATTGATGTCTAGTGTCACTGAGCAGTGTTTTTGTTTTCATCATATCTTCTTTAATAGATGACCTGTGAATCTGCTCTTCTTCAATTAAATGAAGGCTCTTCATTTTAATTGCTGTTTTCAATTGTTTTAAGTCTGTGTGTTACTGAAGAAGATAAAATGTGGTTATTATTTAAATTACATTTTCTTCAGTGACATGTGCTTTGCCTTAAAATAAGCCATTTGAAATTATGAATATATGTACTGAGGTCTGAACCAATATAATTATATTCATTGAAATTAAATGTACTCAGTACTGGCAAGGCCTCACCTCAAATCCTATGTTCAGTTCTGGGCCTCTCACTAGATGAGAGACACGGAGATGCTGGAGCGTGTCCAGAGAAGGGCAGTGGAGCTGAGGAAGGGTCTGGAGCACAAGTCTGATGAGGAGCAGCTGAGGGAACTGGGGCTGTTCAGCCCAGACAAAAGAAGGCTCAGGAGGGACCTTATCACTTTCTACAACACCTGAAAGGAGATTGCAATCAGTTAGGGGTTGTGCTTTTCCCCCAGGTAACAAGCATCAGGACAAGAGGAAATGGCCTCAAATTGCACCAGGGGAGATTTAGATTGGATATCAGTAAAACTTTCTTCATGTAGAGGTTTGTCAAGCACTAGAGCAGGCTGCCCAGGGAAGAGGTTCAGTCACCATCCCTGGAGGCATTTAAAAGATGTGCAGTTGTGGCACTTGGGCACATGGTTTAGTGATGGGCTTGGCAGTGCTGGGTTAATGGCTGGACTCACTGAACTGAAATGTCTTTTCAAATAAAAATTATTCTGATTCTATGGCTGTGAAATAAATCTTTACTGGTTAAATTTTTTATAGAAATGCAAACTACTGAATTGGTTAAAGTTACCAATTTCTGACCTAAAACAAGAATTTGCCGAAGTTATAAAACTGGTTTTTGCATTTGGACTCTCTTTTCCAGGTTCAAGTATTAATTTTCCAAAGAAAAAAAAAATCATTTAATCAACTGTCAGTTCAATAATTTTTCTTTTCAAGAAGTAGCATGTTTTCTCTTCTTCTGGTTTAGGAAAATTATACAATCAGAGCAGATGAGATCCAGTAGTTTTAAAAGCTTAAAGGGCATGATCACAAGAAATAGCAAGGTTTGCTAAGTAATTAATGGTAATATTTCAAATGTTTATTAAATAGTGTTTTGAATATGAGACATTTTTCATTAACTTTTTTCCTCTGATATATGTACCACACTAAAGGTAGCTTTATGAAATTAATCATTAAAATGTTTCTGTGCATTTAATTGAATTTTATTGCCATTTAAATATAATTTGACACAAATTGCACATAAAACATTAATCATCTAGCAGAAAGGAAATGTATCATTCATCATATTACATAGTGAAAATGTGAGACATAAAAGATCAGAGTAAGAATATGTTAAGCTAAGTTATTACTTACTGACACATACCAAACCCTATATACATATCTTTATAGGTATAGTTGTATGTCTTTGTATCCAAACACACATGGTTTAACAAATGTTGTCTTGGTTAGCAGAAAAATGCCAAATTTATTCTACAAACATATTCTTTCCCAAATCAAGAAGTTTTAATGGTTCTTTGCCAGTAAAGGACTAAGTTATTTTTGGTAAAACAATTATGATCATAAATTGAAAAGAAGGTTATAATAGATTATTTAAATCAAGGCTGCCCGCTTACTGATTTAAATTATTATTAGAATTGGCAATTTACATCATTTTTAATTAAACTAATTCAGTCATGCAGGGATATTTTTTGTCATTAAAGTATTCCAAAAGATTTATAGAAAATTGAATTAGAAGCCTGTCTGCTCAAAAATTCACAACAAAACACAAGTTATTTAGAAATAAATATATTTGTAGCAAATATTTTCTGTAGAAAAAAATCACATTTTGCTTCCAGTTAGCATATTCCAGAGCCAGGGTTTGGGCTGTTCCTGAAAACCTCATTTTCTGAGTCTTCTTTTGCCCTATGCATGATATGATGTTTTCTACTTGGCACGTTATTTAATATATATTTTCTGTTAAAGGTGGATCTAAGTCAAAATATGGTCATTTAGAAACATGTTATAACTTGATTCTTCCCAGACTGCAGTGGAATACAAATTTTCAAAATGAAAATGATTAATTGTGCCTGTACCCAAGATCAGATCTGGAACAACCAACTGGGACTTTAACATTTAATGACCCTCATTTTCCTGTCTCGTTTCAGGAACTTCTCTGTGCAGAATTGAATTCCATGACCAACATGTGACTGCACTTGGCACCAGAGGTGTACAGGAAAGACTTTCTTCAGGTCTCTACAGGTACAGGAAGGCCTTGGCTCAGCAGCAACTACTTCCCAGGATGACAAAACTGATCTTGGATGTTGGCCTTCCCCTGCCCCCACAGCTGCCATCCCCATCACATCTGGATTTTCAGCCTCTGCAAAATGAAGGTTCTCACTATGAGCAAAAAATGTAGACAATAAGTAGGACATATTCCATGCTGTTCAGCAAAGGTTGGTCTTTTAGGTCTTGTAGGACTCACCACTGCTAAAGACCTCAGTGAAGGACGGCAGTTCGTAATGACACTGTGACACTATGCTGGAAGGAACTGCCAGTCCACTGGACAACAGGATTAGTATTGAAAGTCACCTTGAAAATTGGAAAAATGTGCTGGGAGGGGGAGGGGGGAAATTCTGCTGTCAGCGGGTGAGGGACAGCACTTGGGAAGGAAAAATCAAGAGCACTCACACTAAAGGGAAGCAACCACTCACAGTGCAGTTTTGGAGAAAAAAATCTATACATTGTAGTGGATCAGTCTGAAAATAAGCCAGACATGAGCAAGGGAAAGAGGAGGAGACACAAGCAGCAAAATACTCCCTGAAAACACATCCTATGGCAGTACCTTTGGCTAGTCTGTTCTCTCCAGTTTTCACCCCGCACTTCATTTGAACATATTGCAGAGAATAGCAATAAAAAGAACCCAAGTTCAAAAAGAGAGAAAAAGAGTTGAGGGATATTTAGCCTGAAGACAAAGTAGGATGATAACCCATCCACTTCTAAGCCCATTCTGTACTCAGCAACCAGCAGGTACAGATATGCTGTCCCATCAGTGACACCATTCATTCTGTAACATTTTGTTGTAATTCTAAGCAAACTAGCAAGAAGCGAAGGTAAGATTTACCTGATCAAACACAGACATTAGAGTACAAGCACGTTGCAGACTCTTTTGATAATCAAAGGGAAATTCATTCCAGCCTAAGCAGAGTCCATGTTTGTTCATGAGAAGCATGGACTGCACAAGCATTGCAGTAATTATAAGGGCAACCCAGGGTGATGAAATTGGATGTAGGTATTTGTCCAGTAGAAATGAATTCCACTCCAAATTATTTTGGAGAACCACACAAGAGATTCTCTTGAAAACTATAGATTACACAGCATTAAGAGATTATGTCTGTCAAAGGAACTGTTTCTCTGCAATATCTGAAAAGAGCATGTGCAGCTGTGTTTTCACATAAAACACTTCCCCTTTTCATTACAATTAATATGAGTATCAATTAAATAAATACAATTAGTAAACAAAAAGAAATGAGGACTTACTGGGGGTCAGAAAAATACAAGGAAAGAGTACGTGGTTCATTTTCTATTAAAGACATACCAGCCAAGTAATATGAGATGTGCTAGAATGAATGTTAGCTTATGAATCTTCCAAGTTAATAAGCTCCAGTGCTTCAGAGCAGAAAAGCCTGGTCTGCAGGGAGTTAAAATGCCAGTGCTTCTTATCTAGGAGACTTATTGCTAACTGGAACAAATAAGAAAGAACACGCACAAAAATTCAAAAAGGATCTGAAGACATTGCAGGAATAGCTTGTTGCTAAAGAAAATAAAGCATGCTATCCTTCAAGAAAATAAAACACAGCAGACGGTTTAGTCTTTGGGACCAAAATGTAACTTGCAGAAATAATTTCATCTGGAATATACAAGTCAGCGTTCCTTTCAGTCTCTCTTCTCTGAGAGTGACCTATGCAGCGAGATGCACACATGAAAATGTCATGCAAGAACATCTCAGTGAAAATCTGCCTCTGGAGACATCTTTTGAGCATCCCTACTTTCTGAACACAACACAGCCTCACCACCAAGGCACCACCAAAAAACAGAGATTCAGCTAATACTACTGAACCACCATGGAAGCTCTGCTGCAGACAGCTTTGCAAACATACCCAGTGCTACACACTAGGTGAGCTTTGCAATACAAATTACACTGACTTATGTTCCTCAAGCAGATGACTATAAAATTATATAGAGCACTCTCCAAAAGGGGCTTAACTTGCCTTCTGCAATGAGCACAAGTGTGTGGCATGAATCAGGAGATGAATACGAAACCGATTCTTAATAGCTTATTGCTTCACAGGGGAGAGATCACCTTTGCAGGGGAAAAGGGGCCTGTAAATTTAACACAAAGCCAATGCCTCATAAAGCCTTCACATAGAACTGAGGAGAGGATTACTTTCCTCAATTATTCCATGTCTTTTCTTCCTAATTTCTTGCCTTTAAGCTAGCCAACTGTTTTCCAAACTCAGAATATATCCAACTGCATGCAAGTTTCTTTCAGGACACAGTTTTATTCTGTGATGCAACTTAAACAGCTCCAAAGTGTAATGTTTCTTCAGTACTTGTTCTTTTTCTGGATGTCCTCTTAGCCATTTTAGGGAAAACATGGGTACTTCCTTGTCAAGCTTGACTGTGATTCATGGTTACCACAGGTTTTTTGGCCATAGACAGAGCATGACCCCCTGGACTGTGACCATCATTTGAGACCACTGTTGCCCCTCTCCACTCTGCAATCCCATGTGCAGAAGGTGGGATTGGCCACAGACCAGGAGTGAGGTCACAGCACTGGTCACACTCTAGACTGAGGCCCCTCCCCGAAGGTGGCAGCTTCCTGTCTAATCAGGACAAACTACAATGGTTTTCTACATCTTTCTTAGAGTAACTACTATTAAAACCCACAGTAGTTTCCCAGAAGGTCACCATGGGCCAATGTACTGGAACCATTTCCTTTTGTTCCTCTACCCATACTGCAGCATTAAACAGTTTTAGCTTAGGCTTTGCTTTTTATGTCCACTAAAGGAAATGGTGAGGACTGAGCTTTCCTCCCTTTCAACTACTTCTTTTACACACACATGCACAAATACAAATGCTTGACCAGCTCATCCAGGTCACACCCAAACATATCACCCACACAAGCTGGTGCAGAGGAAGAACATACGTAGGAGGCAGGAGAGCCTCAATCTTGCCTCAGCTTCAGCCACCATTGACACATGATGAAGAGCTGATACTTTTAAAATAACTAGAGTAGCTTTCTTTCTCTGGAAGCTCTCTTTCTCTGCTTTTGCCAAAGATTTTCACATTTGATGTCCCTGAGTTAA